CATGTCGGCCAGCCGGAAGGGATAAAGCATGCTTCACGAGCTTGTGAGCTTCGATATTCGAGCTCCTAAATTCGTGGCAAAAATTACACAAAAGGAAATTTGATCTATGCTCTATTATTTCATGTATGATCGCCCCATATGTTGTAGGATTGTTGGCTCGGATGTCCTCGACCACCACCTTCGAGTCGGACGCCACTTGTATAGTTAAAACATTGAGGTCATCCGCAAGGGCCAACGCCTCCCTGATCGCCATGCACTCAAGAGTGGCCGGATCGGAAATTCCCGCAAAAACCACAGCCGATGCTCCCAAAAAAAGGCCAGTAGAGTCTCTTGATATTGCCGCTACAGAGCCGTGTCTACTACCCCTCCCCACTGCAGCATCTACATTCAGTTTTTTCAACCCTGTTGGTGGGGGAATCCAGCTCGTCAGGCGAGGAATAGGGTTGCCACCCCGCCTTGTTTTAACAGTTTTGATAGCTTCCAGTTCCCTTATGTAAGACTGAATAAACCCATGTACCTGAAAAGGACTTTGGTATATTTGCTCATGGATCGCCTTTCGGCGCGCTCCCCACAAGGCCCAGAGTGTGACCACGAGTGTTGTAAAACTCTCCTGGGATAGTGCCTCGTGCATGGAGGAGAGCCATCTCTTCGCGTCCCCTTCTTCATTCTTACTCAGTGCATCGATGATATGCTCAGATGACAAAGCCCACGTACTCCGGGAAACCATGCAGTTTAGCAAAGCATGTCTCCAAGTGTCTTTCGCTCCGCAAAGGGCGCACGCTGGCGTGTCCGCCATGTTCCGATGATGCAAGAGTGCCCCGGTTGGTGTGGTGTTCTTCGCAAATCTCCATAGGAACACCTTAAGCTTTGATGGAACGTTGAAACCCCATAGCTTTGTCCAGATCTCACTATCAGCTTGTGAATGGGACGATCCCCCTTGCTCATATAACCATGCTTCTCTGCTTAGTTTCTTCTGGTGGATCATGTGGTAAGAAGTTCTGACAGAGAAAATACCCCATCTGTCCTCGCTCCATGCCCAAAAGTCCTCAATCTGTCTAGTGCATAGAGGAATCTGCATGATAGTTTCTGCATCGATTGGAACAAAAGTAGCCCGAACTAGTTGCTCATTCCAAGAGCAAGTAGTACTGTTGATGAGTTCAGACACTTTTTGAGGAGGATGTTGAATCAGAGAAGTTAATGGTCGCTTCATGTGTGTGCGAGGTAGCCAGTTATCGTGCCAAATGTTCGTGGTTTCGCCGTTTCCAATTCTTCTCACAAATCCCTGTACCATGATATCTCACCCATCCAGGATTGCCCGCCAAATTTGTGATGGATGATTCCCAAGACTTTCTTCAAAGAGAGATACATCAGGGAAGTAAACCCCCTTGAGAATGCGGGCGCTCAAGGAAGTAGGGTTTTGTAGCATCCTCCACGCCTGCTTCGACAGTAGGGCAAGATTGAAGATCTCCAGATCCCTGAAACCGAGGCCGCCTAGATGCTTTGGCTTTGTCATCTCCTCCCAGGCTACCCAACTCGGCTTGTGTTTTCCTCCCTTGCTTCCCCACCAAAACTGTCTGATCAGGGAGGTAATATTCTCATATAAACCTCGTGGGAGACGGAAGCAAGACATCGAAAAAACCGGTATTGACTGAGCCACCGATTTGATAAGAACTTCTTTGCCCGCTGAAGATAACAGTTTCTCCATCCACCCTCTTATCTTCTCCCACACACGATCTCTTAGATATCTGAAAGTGCCATTCTTTGAGTGCCCTACATCAGTAGGCATCCCCAGGTACCTGCCACTGAGTGATTCATTCTGAACGTTTAAAGTATTCTTGATACTCTCTCTCATGGCTTGTGGACATCCTTTACTAAAGAAAATAGAGGATTTCTCATGATTTATCCGCTGACTAGATGCCACACAGTAACTCTCCAGCAAGTTTGATACTGCCACAGCCCCTTCAACACTCGATTTAAACAGCAACAGGCTGTCGTCAGCAAAAAGGAGATGGTTCACGACTGGCGTCGTGGATGCCAGCTTGATCCCTTCTAGCTGAGACGATGATGAACTGGATTTCAGTAGGCACAAAAGGCCCTCTGCTGCGATTAAAAAGAGATATGGGGATATCGGATCTCCCTGCCGAATACCTCTGGATGGGTTGAAAGTGTCAAGCCTCTCACCATTGAAAAGTACTGAAAAGGATACTGACCGAACCATGCTCATTACTATCTGAACCAAAGATGGGGCAAAGCCAAGCTTTATCATCATCGCCTGTAGATAATCCCACTCTAGTCTGTCGTATGCCTTCATCATATCGAGTTTAAGCGCACAAAAACTGTTAACTTTGGCCTTGCTGCGTTTCATAAAGTGAAGACACTCATAAGCACTGATGATATTGTCTGTGATATGCCTGCCTGGCACAAAGGCTGATTGTTCCTCTGAAATGATGTCCGGAAGAATCATCTTCAATCTGTTCGCAATCACCTTGGACATAATCTTATATAATACATTGCATAAGCTGATGGGTCTAAACTGAGTTAGCATAGTAGGATTCATTACCTTAGGGATGAGAACCAGGACCGTATCATTGATGCTTTTCGGACTTTCCTCACCCCGGATGATCCTGAGAACCGCCTCCGTTACCTCGGCACCGCACAGATCCCAGTGATGCTGATAAAAGTGAGCTGGGAAACCATCGGGCCCCGGTGCCTTGGTCGGAAACATCTAAAAGAGGGTTGCCTTTACTTCTTCTCCCTTGTATGGTGCGACCAGTAGCTCATTCATCTCCGTTGTGACCTTGGTTGGTACACAGTTTAGAACTGCTTCCATATTGTTTACACCTTCTGATGTATACAGGGTTTCATAAAATTGGTGTACTATTGCTTTGAGCTCATCTGGATCCTTTGTCAAGACTCCAAGGGAGTTTTGTAACGCCTTAATCATATTCTTCTTCCTGCGGATGCTTGCTCTCAAGTGGAAAAACTTTGTATTTTTGTCTCCGGATGTTAGCCACTCAATCCGTGAACGCTGCCTCCATAATATTTCTTCCCGGTGGTAAAGTTCAACTAGATTCTCATTTATCTTGAGCTCGACGTGTGACGGAGCCCTTCGGCTAGGATCAGCCCGCAACTTCTCAAGCTCCGTTTTCAACTTTTTGATCTCTTTTCGAACGTTTCCAAAGGTCTCATTATTCCACCGTCCCAAATCCTGGGATATAGCTTGCAGTTTAGCCCGAAGTTCCACCACTCTATTGCTTGTTCCCCCGCCCGTCCATGCTGCACTGATTGTGTCTGTCCGCGATTCGTGGCCTTCCCACATTACTTCATACCGGAAAGCTTTCGGCTGCCTGCTCCGTGGCTGCTCTCTATTCAGACGCAACAAGATGGGGCAATGATCAAAGGACGCTGTCGTCAAGTGTGTCAGGTCTGCAAGGGGAAACCTTGCGCGCCAATCAGGATTAGCTAGGGCGCGATCCAGCCGTACCCTCGTGTAGGATCCCCCCCCCCTCCCTCTCACTTTCTTTTCAAAGGTCCAGAAACGACCCACATAACCCACATCTAGCAACATGCACACGTCAACCGCATCACAAAAATTCTGTATCTGCACATTACTCCTTTGCCCAACTCCTTCATGCTCGTCGGGACGTAGAACTTCATTAAAATCACCAAGGCAAAGCCAAGGTAGACTGCTGGAAGTGCTAATGTTTTTCAAAGTGTCCCAAGTTTTATATCGAAGATGTGTCTGCGCTTCGCCATAAACCACAGTAGCTCTCCAAGGCTCAAAGCCTCCCTCCTCAACAGAACAACCAATATGGTAGTCCGAGTAACCAAGGATTTCCAACTTTATTTCATTGTTCTAGAAAATGCCTATACCTCCACTTCTACCATGACTATCAATAGCAAAACTATGATCATAACCAAAAGTACCTGCTAATGCTTCTATCCTCGAGCCTTCTAACTGGGTTTCCACGATACATAAGAGGGTAGGAGCAAATTTGTTCGTGAACTCGCGAACCTCTCGAACTGTCACGGCTTTGCTCACGCCACGACAGTTCCAACATAGCGCACTCATTGGGCCTGGCGGTGCTCCTCGAAGGAGCCCGGCAAATTCTTCACTCTTGAAGTTGCAACCTCGGTATCTTCCTCCGTCTTACAGGGCCACAAGGCCAACCTTGACATGTTAAGCGTAAACAGAGAAAATTGCCCAACAGCCCTCGAACAACATTCATGCATTTTTATTTTTATGTTTGACAGCAAGCGCTCATGTATGTATAGCCAAGGAAACCTGGATGAAATACATGGCACACTAGATGAGCTGAACTCATGTTTTGATTGTCAGCACACGTGTCATCAGGGGGAAAACACATTAGGTCATGAGTGGAAAACAAGTTAAGCTTGGAGAAGATCTGAGATTCTGAACTCACATTTTTATTATCAGCATTGCATAGGTTTGAGAAATAAAAAAAACATTAGTTACTGGATGAAAAACAAGGTAATATTGGAGGATAGCCGAAATTTAAGCTGTTGTTGAGCTTATATAAAGAAAAATGAAATTCAGTAGCAATTCCACCTATCTTGACAAATCATACAATATAAAGTAAAAAAAAAGATCCACAATATTGATTAACTGGGCCCACGTAGGTGGAAGATTACATTTTTCTGGGTACAAGTTGAAGAAAGCCGCACTTACTAGTTCAAAAATGAGGTGCATGCTGCACTATAAAACACTATACTAATCTTACCAGCAGAAGAATACCCTTTAATACCGAATGTGGTGGATTTTCTGTAGATGATTGTTTTATGTATCAACTATGGTACAGGGATGCTCTTGCAGCTTGGTGGAGGCAGCCACACAAATGATTTTCTGTAGATGGTTGTTTTATTATGTATCAACTACGGTAAGAGATGCACAAGCTGCAGCCACACAAATGATACATAGCCATCTGAGCTTCGGAGATGATCCTATGTGCATTGTACCAAACAAACAGGATCCACTTCCCTCAGCAGAGGCTCGGATAAAATTGGGAAGAACCCTTCAAGGATTCAACATCATCAATTGCAGTCCATGACTGCTCTTGCAGCTTGGCAGCCTCAGCAATATCCGAGTTGCAACCATACACATGTATTGCCAATCGTCTACGTGTTGGAGAAGATGATCTTATGTAGGTATTGTACCAACTGATGACGTCCTCCTTCCCAACTGTCCTTAGCTCTTCAGCTTCCAGTTTTGACATATCAAACATATACCTATAATTGGATTTTTCCACAACATGAGACTATATGAGGGATGAAAGGATACATGAAGCATTAATCAAATCCATCAGTAAAGAACGGAGGTAAAAGTACTCACGTGATCCATGACATATTATTTGAAACTATATGCAGCTCAAAATATTTGTCAGGTTGCACATGGGTTTCTTTTGCCCAAGTGACCAAAGTTACAAATTCTGCAGATTATGAGACATCGCTGCTTTTATAAGCAGTACTTCGTATTACAAAAGTGAAACATGCAAATGAAAAAATAACAACTGGCCATTTCCAACTAGTTCCCGGCCAGTTATTGGCCTGCAGCTTTATGGCAATTTGTTATCAGCACTTGCACTGTGAACAGGCCTGGGCATTGGACAAGGTTATGAAGCACACGGCCTGGATAATTTGTACCCGTAACTGAATGAACGGTTAAAAGTCCAGTGTGTCCACATAACACTAATCGGTATATTTTCAGTTTTGAAAGCTTTGTGCCGCCTAGGACGGTTTGGCTGAAATTCAAACCAGCTCAGGGAAACAAACGGGTTCGATGGCAAAATGGTTTATACCACATCATGCATTGCATCGTAGAATGGTGAGGAGGTGCTCGTGATAAAGCGCTCTACATACTATTGTAGCAAGGAAAGAGGAAGAGGAAGGGTTCCACTGTTTATACATAACCATACCAACACCACATGGAAATATGTAGCGTGGGTTTAATTGTGTAGGTTGAGTGGTCAGACCCAACCCATGAACACCCATAGTCCTGACCTCAAATGATATACTACCTCCATCTCGAAATATAAGACGTTTTTGTAGGCTATAAACTAGCCTACAAAAACGACTTTTATTTTGAGACGGACTATTTAATTCGTTTCACATAAGTTCTAAATGACGTATAGACATGTAGCAGGAAAGAAGTTATACCTTTTGTCGGTAATCTGCGACCAGTAATCACCAGTTTGATAGCTAAGGGAAGGATCCTTCTCAAGTTTTTGAGCTATTAGCCCACTCTTGTGATGCTCAAAAGTCTCCTCCTCAAGCCCATCCTTCAAAGCACACAGGTATTGACCAAATGTAAGTAATTGTGAGATTGCAATTAATTGATTTTTCAGTTTTCAAAAATTAACGAAGTTTGTCCACAAAACACAGTATGAAATATAGTGACAGGTAACAATATTTCACTAACAACTTGATGTTTTGAGAATTCAACTTCAACTACAACGGGATCAAGTATGAACAGCATAAAAAGCTTGAGATATCTTGTGTTTTCCAATTGCATGAACAGCATAAAAATATTAATATAACTGAGAGAAGTTGTATACGGGAATTTCATATTCAAGTATGAACATGAATATTTATGCAAGACATATTTTTTTTCCAGTGAAGACATGGATACATGATTAAAAGAAAGGAATACACCAAAAAAGCATACTTTGTTAAGACTGCATAAGTCAAGCAAAGTTCATTTTGAAATATACCATGAAGAAACATCTCAAAGGCAATTTGTTTAGGCATTCTTGCTTAGAATAAAGGTAAATGTCAACAAAGATTAATCAAAACATGAGTGCAGGATTTCCATCAGTCAGAGATAAACATCATTGTGCTGTTACGACAATAAAATTGATGCACGAAGCATGTCACCAACATCTTAGGGGCTGTTTGGTTCCTAGCAACACGTTGCCACACCTCAAGTTAAGCGAGTTTAACCAAGTAATATAAGTGTTGGGTTTTAACCACACCTTAGGCGAGATTGCTTTTTGTGACAAATAAGCCCCATATGTCATAATACACTCAAAAAGTGTGGCAAGATTCTCTTAGATATGCCAAAGTTAGGCAAGTTTAGCAAAGAATGTGTGGCAAAGTATGGAAAAGTTAGCTTCCAACCAAACAGGCCCTTAGTAGTTAGATAAATATGTTGATTAACATATATTTTCTGTCAGGTCAGGTGCAAGATTATAAGATAGTCTAATAAAATGAAGGGCTGACATAGAAATGTGTAGGAGAGTAGCATACCAGCAAAGCAGACAGACCATCAATAAAGTTATCAATCCTGCTTTGCAGGTAAACAGGGCTATACTTGGAGGACATAACTCGAAAACAATACGCCAGCAGGCGGTAAGTCATCCTTGGACTGGAGTCCACAGTATAACCAAGCTGCTCCTTCGTTCTATCATTGGAATGCCAAGAAAATCAATTAGCAAGGTTGTTGCAGAATACAAATAGTAACAAAAGTATACTCCCTCCCGTAAAAAAAGGTGATCTCCTACAATTACAAGCAGGCAAAACTATTTTGGTTCTGACCAACTTTGCAAAAAGAAGAAACATTGTGTATAGAACTTATTTTCAAAATAAATCCATAATACTCCAACCACTTTGAAATATGTGCACTTATTTAGGAAAGCGTCTTTTCACAACAATTCTCATTGAGGACATCACAAGTGCACACTTATTTTGGAAAGTGCTTTTCACAATAATTCTCATTGAGGACATCACAAGTGCTCTACTTACTTACTTACGAAGCCTTTTATCCCAAACAAGTTGGGGTAGGCTAGATATGAAACCCTTTCACGAGGACTTCCCAGGAGGTCACCCATCCTAGTACTACTCTCGCCCAAATGGGTTTCATACCCAAAAGACTGGCTAGTTTTTACGTTGGCTCGCCAAGCCTATCACAACCCTTAGATATGAAACCCTTTCACGAGGACTTCCCAGGAGGTCCATCCTAGTACTACTCTCGCTCAAATGGGTTTCATACCTATGGGACTGGCTAGTTTTTACGTTGGCTCGCCAAGCCTATCACAACCCTCCTCCTTTACCCGGGCTTGGGACCGGCTATGCCTACAAGTGCTCTAATTGCAATATTTCCACTTTCTACTTGTACTTTAGTACTGTAAAAGAAAGATTAGTGGTTGTAGTAGTATGTCATTTAATAGGGATAGGAGTATGCATGGCCCACTGTAAGTAGTATTTCTAATAGTGGGTGCGTCATTGGTTTGTGTGTGAGATGAGCTTGAAAAATACTGTGAGTGCTATATTATGGATCGAACTACACTACTTGGCACTCACACTTTGTCTAGAAAACAAGAAAACAAATTATACCTCAGCTGATCAAAGCAAGGTTCTTCAATGATATTGCTGAAAAGATCTGTAATGGCTCTCAGCCTTGTTGACTCCTTTCCGATGTCTTGCTCGACTGGAAAATAAACCTGACAAGAAGTGGTATATCAGAAGGTTGTCTGATTAACCTAAATTGAAAAATTAAAATTAAAATAGAAGAGCAGCCTCTTGAGGCACACTTGTGCATGTTTCTTGAGGTTAGGTCGGATGCCTATGCAATATTTCAAAGTGGTTGCATTTCACATAGTAGGCTATTCGACATACATGATACTATCACAGTGAAAATGTTCAGGACCTGGATGCGATTCAACATATAATTTATAATTTAAACAGCATCTAAAGAAACATGCAAAAGTGGTATGCTTCAGTAAACTTCTACTCCCTCCGTTCCTAAATACTTGTCTTTCTAGAGATTTCAACAAATGACTACATACAAAGTAAAATGGTTGAATCTACATTTTAAAATATGTCTACATACATCCGTATGTTGTAGTCCATTTGAATGTCTAGAAAGACAAATATTTAGGAACGGAGGGAGTAATAAAATTCTCTTCAAGACCAGTTATAATTCAAACAGCATCTAATAAAACAGGGAACTGGAACATAGCCCACCTCAACCACAGAATTCTCTTCAAGATCATTCTTCACACGTACACTTCTAATAAAATTTGCACCATGAGGAATGGAAAGAACTCTTTCACCATGTCTTGCCTCCACTGACAGTGTCTGGCCTGACAAAGTATTCTGGAATATTTTTGATATATTTATCGCTTCCTCTCCTAACAGGTTACCATGACATAGGCCCTCGATGTGCAACTGCATGTGTCCAAACAGGAAGTGGTTTCTAAAGTCTAGCAAATGTATACATAATATAAAAAACCATACCAAACATTTCCTTATCAGAACCATACTTTCAACAAAGCATCTTTAGCCTTTTGATATCATTTGACACATGTAAGAACAGGCAGCACCAGAAATACTGGAGAAAATAAAGAGCATTTGTTATCCTTACCTGAGAAAGGAGCTCTGGAACAAATGCTGCCAGATCTGGAAAGGTTAACGTCGCAAGAACTTTCAATTTTTCATTGACGTCCCAGAATATTTGACGTAAGAACTGTAGCCTCAAGTAGGTGGAATGGCTCATAGGTTTCATATTCGTGTTTCTGTAAGCTCTTTCCAAGTCCTCCTTGATGACCTAATGAGTGCACAATAAAGCAATATATAAATACTAAGGTGTAGAAGTTTATGGATGGTTATGTGTTTTCTTGAACTATGTTCTCCATATGTTAACAACTAGCGAGGTGAATACCAAAAGAAACTGTATAAGCCAGTCAAATAGCTGGTTAGGCTGCAGTCAATTCATGCGCTTCTCTCACTGGAGGGTAACTATGTCAATTAATAAGACAGAAAAAATACAGTAGGATCAAAGGAATGCATTGTTTGCCTAATCTGATTATATCAACAATTATTACAAGAAAAGTCACTTAAGTTATCCATTTTTGTGGTGGACGTTAAAGGAAAAGGTACAGAACACAAAATTTTAAATCCACACAAACATAAGAAATATTCTTTCACGTTGTCACACTTATATTTCGAAATAATCTATCATGTGTTCACGTTGTCACACTTATATCTCGAAATAATCTATCATGTGTTCACGTTGTCACACTCATATTTCGAAATAATCTGATTATACCAATAATTACAAGAAAACTCATCATTGAGTTAGCCATTTTTGTGGTCGACGTTAAAGGAAAAGGTACAGAACACAAAACTTAAATCCACGCAAACGTAAGAAATATTCTTTCACGTTGTCACACTTATATTTCGAAATAATCTATCATGTGTTCAGCACAAAATTTAAAATCCACGCAAACATAAGAAATATTCTTTCACGTTGTCACACTTATATTTTGAAATAATCTATCATGTGTTCAGCACAAAATTTAAAATCCACGCAAACATAAGAAATATTCTTTCACATTGTCACACTTATATTTCGAAATAATCAATCATGTGTTCAGCATAAAGATACATTACCTCAAACCTATCTATCTTTGGAGAAAAGGATTGAGAAGCAGCCAAGATGTGGGACAACAGGATGGCCAGCTTGTCATTGTAACCATAAAGCTTTAGCTCAAGGTTGCTACCAACGACAGATAATGATGTCTCGAGTTTAGCCACGTAAGCCTGGGAGGTTCATAAACCAGTTGCAAGAAATAACTCAGATAGGTCAAACCATTTAACAATAGTCGACAAGATTGTAGATACTGTGATTTCAAAATAAATAATATTGCAAATACTAAAAAGAGGGGGACTTGGACGAGAGTTCTGATATCTGATCGGAAAAGCAAGACAGCAAACTGAAACATTGGACAGTAGGTGGCTGGGTTGTATCATTATTTACAGCATCTAGGCCTTAGTGAGTAAAACAAGGAACATTGCGAAATAAAATGCATAATGAAATTTAGTAGTCAACAGATGATTCCTATGCTCGAGTTTTTGCATAAATAACAAAAATCGGATCTGCTGCAAAAGTCAGGTATCTAACTGATGGTCAAGCCCTGTATTAGATGTAAATCTCAGCCACTCTAGATTTAAGTTCAATAATGACAAATATTAGCAGCACCATGAAAATAAAAGAACTACGGTAAGCTCATAAAACAGATGTTGAAACAAATTCAATAATACCCACCTGATAGAGGACCTCATTTAGCTCATCTTTAAGAAGGTTTGCAAACAGATCTGTCAGAACAGAGTTTCTGAGGCTGCTACAGCCATCCTTGACAGAAATCAAAAAGTATGCATTGGCACGAGGAACATTAAATGTAATATCCATCTTGTGCCAGAGCTTTATGAATGGTTCATCCACAATACATCGAGGATTATCATCGTTTGAGGATTTAGGAATGCTAGCATTACGCAGACTGAAGTCCCCTGGGATGTATTCATTCTTCCGAGGTAAATGAAAATTACCATCTATCTCCACAGGATTTCTCCAGCTTTCAATCAAAGATGACGGAATATCCTCTTCAATGTACTGTGAACCAAACCATGGTTCACATCTAATGGCTGCAGGAAACAGACTGCATTAGAAATGCAAAATAATGAAACAATCAGGCATGATATGCAGTTGAACAAACTGTGACTTGGGCCCTGTCTCATAGTTAGAATTCTAACTCTCCACCGCATGTGGGGTAAACAATATGTCAAATTAAGCCCTCCAAAGCCAACAAGCTGTTACTTCATATAATTCCACAAACAGAATGAGTTTCATCTATGGAAATTGTATGGCTAGGCCAAAGCATGAAATAGCATTATTATTATTATTATTATTATACATATCATACCAGAATATAATTATAATTATGAAAAAAAAGGATTCCCGTGCTTTTATACACTAAATTAAGGAGAGAAAAATAATGATGATGATCACAAGATGAGGCATCTCATTTTACTAGTACAATAGTTAGCAATATCGAGTCATGATTCAACAAACGAGCATCAAATGTTGAAATAACAGTGTTGACTTGAAACTTCAAACAACTCGCATCATGTAGCACAAGTCTAGTGTTCACGAGCCTGGCATAGGAGCGTTGTGCATTAACCAGACCCCCCAAAAGACTGGCAAGACGGACTGCTTACCTTGGGACTGTTTATCAAATGATCTGCTAAGTATGTCAACTCTCATGTTGTCTGGATGAAAGAAGCTCAGAACATGCTTGACTAACTCTGGCTCCCATCCCTCATAAATATATTCTCCAGAAATTATGTGTTTTTCAGAATAAAATAGCATATTTTCTGCAAAGTAGAATTTAAGTAAGCTCTGCATCCATCATAAACAAATTAAGCGAAACAAGATGGAAAAGGTGATGACCTGCAAGATCTACTACATAATCATCTGGAGGTTGCTCTTCTGCAAATCTGAATTCCATGTACCCAATGTCCTGAAGTTCCTTAAATATCCATTCTTGCGGCTCAGACTGCTTAAGTAAATTTATATATTGGTACACAGCTGTAATGACCTCGAAGAGCTACAAAAGCATTCCATGTCAGAAAATGTATTATTGTGCTTCCCTAGGAAGTAAAATAGTAAGAGACATGTGAATGCAAGAATTATCAAAAGATTGGATGAATTGCCGCTAGTTATAAATTTTCTGATGAATATTAGTCTCAACAATGTTTGGCAGCCAACTTCATGGAAGAAAATGATGCTAACTACAATCAATCACATGTTCCTTAGCAGAAGGCATTTGCTGGTAGTTGTTAACTACAACAGTTCCACAAAAATGATGTAAAGAATAAAATACTTTGATGCGAGGAGAAAAGGAGTTTCAACCAACAAAGATACTCAGATAAAACAAGAAAGGCAAGCATCGTATGAACCTGCATACATTTTTAAGTCCAGAATCAGAAAGGCGGATAGACATCTCAAAGATATAGGCATACGAGGATCGTTGTGTTCCTCCAGTGCCAACGCCAGCACTCAATGTGCTAGCCCAACCTTTAGCTTTCAAAAAATATAGCAAGCTACCCTTGCCCTCTGAAAATAGAAACAAAATGGTCAGACACTAAATTGCAGGGCGTGATTACATAAGATGAAACTTCTGCATGCTCCAAATCAACATTAAACAAAGATAGCAACCAGCATTGGAAGCTATTCAAAAACAAATTGTCTTTATTATGCAAAAAAATTCTGTAAAGATGCTGTTCTGCAAAGAGTACATAAGTTACCAGAGGTTAACACAAAATAAGATAGCCCTGAGTGAAGAATGGAAGGACATTTCAGCAAAACGCTTCAGGTGAGGGCATAAACAGCACAGCCCACAAGGGGACAATGCATAAGAATGTATATTCAATCAGGTAATCTAACTGATACAATCATATTAAATAAATGTGAATTTGTTGTCAGGATTTGAACCTACAGGGAAGAAGGGCTACAATTAAACAGCCTGAAACCCCTTGAAAGAAGAAAACGTGATGAAAAAAATATTTGAAGGGTGAATCAACTGCATGCTTAGTATTCAACCATTGATTAAAGGTGCAGCACCTGAACGGAACAGAAAAAGGTTACAGCTATAGGTACGCAGGAGTTATTTACCATGACCAAGGAGATGTGCCAAGTAATCTTCTGGTTTCTTCATGTATTCCTTGTGCAGGCAAGGAAGTGTCCATGACAGGAAAAGACTGTGAACATCTCTGACAGCCTCTAGCTTATGAAGTTTACCAGATTTCCAGAAAGGCATATCAGTCTTTGGACTTATTTCTAACAGAGGACCAGCTTTAACTTCACTGAATAGCTCCATGGTCCAGGCTTCTAGAGTGTCAAGGGGTTCTGAAACAAATGAACCATACAGATAATTAATAGCAAAAGAAGAGCATGAATTCATTTATTTAGTGAATATACAATTAAAATAGGTAACCAGCCTCACCTCCCCCAATTATAACTAGCTTCATCATCCCTCCATGATAGTTACTCATGTACATTTGCAAAATCTCTTCCCTTAGATTGATTCCACTGCCCATTGCATTCGACAAGCTTTTCTTGTTTCCTACAGATAATCTCAAAAGTTCAGCCCCAGTATAATTCAATGGATATCACGACATTAAAATAACCAAATGATAAGCATACCCCAGGTAAATCTATTCAATGGGTGCCCTTGAGAGCAAGTATGGGACTGCAGTTGGTAAAGGCGGCAGCTATCGCTTTGCAGAACTTGATTGAACTCTAACATAAGATAATAGTTGAAGCAACAAAGTTAATTTAGACAGTGAAACAATAACTAGCAGTGGTTACTGGTTAGACAGAAAGGAAAAAACACATACCTGAGTCTACTGCTAAAATCTCGCGGTCCATAGCTTCAGCCTTAACAAGAGGTGATACAAAGAACTGAGAAAATCTAAGCATGGAATCAGAACCATGTGTTAGTATAAACCTGAACTCAGCATTTATGTTACAGATTAAGAATAATAGAATGAAGAATAGCAAATGATAACTACCTGTCTAAGGCTCCCTTTAGATACTCCCGATTGACCTCAAAATGATAGCATGTGTACTCAGTTTCGGTAAAAGCGTTGGATGAACCACCGTGTTTGGACAGGTAACTGTCATACTACATAAGAATATTTATCAAATTGCTATAAAAGCATTCACCAAATCTACAAAATTAAGGTCTTCATTAACAAATTACTAGGAAATGTAACATATTGCAAATGTAAGACAAAGCAAGTTTGCATGTGAGACAAAGGGAATACAAAAGCTCAGGGACTATGTGAATCATTGTAGCATGGGTACTGTGCAAACAGACCAGTACTAGAACTGTCATGGTGGACAAAGGGCTGCTACATTTCAGCTAGCTGCGATGTAGCAGCCCACTATAGCCCTATGGTGTGCAGCATCAAGTGCTATATTGGCACTTATAAACAAAGATGTTTCAGGTTTTTGTCTGATCCCAACACAAGGCAAGTTTATATTTTATTATCATGGTTCATTAGTATGTCACTCCGTCGTTTCTGTCTATAAGGTGTATTTTGTGCCGACTCCGGCCGTCTCCCGCTACCTGCCAAGGTCAATTAGCAGCCGCGCAACGCGCACAAGAACCCCGTGACCACCATTGAGCCGCGGCTCTGTGCCGAGCTCTAGGTGCTCGGGCAGCTCGGCGCTGCCGGAGTGGGCCGCACCCCGGCTCCCCTCCACCCCTGGGTCCCTCCCGATGCCTTTGCTAGCCATCCGGCGACCTTCTCGGCCCCGGGAACCTCCACCAGCCGAAATCAAGCTCAGTGCCCCTTAAGTGTTCGACGGAATCCTTCAAGGGTTTTTTTTTTGGAAATTGTGTTGAGTTTCGGATTGTGGATTGATGAACCATATAATAATTAAGTACTGTTTGTGTTTTATTTGTTATTTGACATGAGTTTAATATTATTCGAATTAGAAGCTTAAAATTTAGGCATCCAGTTTTCAGGTCGGATGTAAAAGCAGAAAAAAAATTGGCTACCTAAATCTTCTCTCTCCTCAAAAACTGGACTTAGTAGCAACATTTTTAGTCTGCTGTTGGAGATGCTCTTAGTCTAGTAACCACATAGGTCAGGTTTTGACAAATATAGCAGAGTATCATCATGTATATCACCACTATACGCATTGCACTGCCAAAATGCTTCAATATTTTTCTACCAAAACAACATTGATCCAAGCAGAGCATGTGATGGTAATCTTTCCTACTTATAAAGGTTGGAGTTGGTGGTGAGTTCACACGTGGGATCACACAAATAAACAAATGCAGTACCCACATGTGGGACTATAAATAAACAAATGTTACTTTTACTGGTGTGAGACCTATCCCAAAAACAAATACACTACTATCCTAATGTGAGAATAACACACTTGTAAACACACAAATTATAAATGCAAGTATTGTGGCCTTGATTTTAGTTTCTCTGCCCAACCAATTCTTTTCGTTACATGTCATAGCAGAAGAGGGTAAACAAATTACAATTCAACATGCCGAGATATATTGTCTTCCTACCTAATCCACGATGTTGTGCATTCAACTTACTCATGCCCATTCTCCTATGTTCCAAATTCAAAATGGTATCTCACTATAAATCTTGCAAAGGACCTACTAAAGCCGCTCAAGACTTTGTAGCAACTGCAATATGATCTTTTATTATATCTGCGGTCTCTTTTTAATTGTGAACCATGCAACAACTGCAAGACACCATCATCTTTTGATTATCTCCTAAGCCAGTGGTAATTCCTCTTTTTTTATGGCTTCGTAGCAACGCACGGACAGTTGAAATAAGGGGAAAGGACAATAAAAACACACATAACTTTCTCAGACACGGCTAATCTCAGGGTTGACTCACAGAACAAAAGAAGGGGCGTAAAAGCATAGATATTGTACAAACCTCGTTTTCATCTGGAAAAACAGAGCTCCCCATAAAAAGCATGTGCTCTGCAGAAATTCAGCACACTCTGATATTATTATAAGCTAGAGCGTACATATCATCAGATTAGTTACCTCCAACTTTTGGATAGCATCGAACAGAAGGCTTAGTAGTTCTAAGCTTTTAACTGATGCATATGATCAGCCATAATACAAGATAGGTAAAACAAAAGATGACAATGATTGCATACCTAGAAAATGAGCCAAGCCATGTGCCTTTGGAGGGTCCGCAAAACTGCCCATTCCAACACACACTGCAGCAGCAGCCTGAAATTCGATGTGTCATGTAAGAAAAAGCAAAACCAAACATTAAACTTGCAACAGGCAGCAATACTCGCGGCTATCAAAATGCACCTTCCAGATTTGCAATCCTGAACCAGTCCGTCAAGCTAGCAATTGATTCTAACCACTTGGACACACGAATTATTTTCAACAGTTCAATTTGCATTCCATCGGTTATGATCCACATGTCTGATCGTTGTCAATGCCACTAAATTATGCTAGATCCAGCTAATGTTCATAATAGCAGCATCACAGCCACCACAGAGGAGAGTGATCCAATGTAGTAGCAAAATTAGATTGAATAGAACAAGTACAGGTCTCTAAGGGCAAAACTCGTCGGTACCTTCTTAATGACCGGCTCGGAGCTGCCCATGTCCTTCTTCCTCTTGGGCTCGCTCCCATCCTCGTCCTCCTCACCTTCTTCGTCGTCGTCATCCTCCCCCTCCTCGTCGCTATACTCCTCGTCATCTTCTTCGTCGTCCCCGTCGTCCATGTCCACGTCTTCGTTGGGCTTGGGGGCAGGGCCGCCGTCGGCGTAGATCTCGGGGTCGTGGATGAGGAGGGCGCAGAGGCCATTGGCGAGGCGGAGGAGGCGGTAGGAACGGTTGTCGCTGGGGGACTTCACCACCAGCTCGTCGTCACGCGACACAGCCGCCGCCATCTCGGCCGTCCGCCGCCGCCTTGTAGATACGAAGGAGGGGGGGAGGTGGTGGGAGCAGTAGCAGCGCGGGCCTTCTCCCCTGTTTCCTTCGTTTATATCTTGGTTTTGTTTATTTAGGGTTACATACGCGACAAAATTCTTTGTCCAAGGGCGTAGGATGGGGTCGTATAAATCCCCGTTTGGGATGCACTTACGGTGAATGGAACTTTTCCGCATAATTTGTTTGAAAGTTCAATCCATCCAAACGTATCTTCAGTGGTGTTTAGGCTGGTCATAGTGGGGAGTAACTTATACTAATGTCATGCATATGACACTAGTCTAAGTTACTACCTTCATAGTGCAAAGTAACATGGTACTAGTGTCATAGAGGACTTCATTTATTATCTTGTAGACTCATCTTGTCTTGGTAAGCGTTATGTTACAGTAACATATTATGTTACCACTTCTCATTAACTACATGTCACGTAAGCAAAAAAAATTTGAAGTGCGCTATGTTACTAGCTAAGTTACTCCCACTATAACTAGCCTTACCAAACGGACGTCCCAAATGTTTGCGGACATCTAGTCGATCGCCTGCAGTCCGACCATATTTTTGAATAAGGCCAACATCGAGTCATTTTAACTAGTTTAGTTTTTCTTTCCTACAACAGAGAGAATCTCTAATAAAAACTAAAAACTAATAAATCCTACTCCTCCGCGTCGAAGGCAAGGTTGATGACCCCTGCGCCGGAGCCACCGGCCTCGCCATCATTGGTCGTTGGAGTCAACCCATCAGAGCCACCGATGTATACCTTGACATCGTTTTTGTGTTGCTCCGCCACCTTGTCGTCCTCAACCTCGAGCTCCTCGGAGGGCCAAGTGCGTCACAACTCGTTGACACGGAGTTGGTGGCGCTCTCGGTCGACCATGTGGGTGCTATACACGGACGCGAGTATCGCTCAGTTCTGACGATCTCCGGCTCTGCAAGGATTTTCATGACAACAACGGCATCCTTGCACTCCGCTAGAAGTGCGCCACGGCTGAACAGTGCCCCTCTAGGAGTGCAGCACGGGCTTGTTCCTCTCCCTCCACCATGGAGAAGAGCCAGTCTGTCCCGTTGGCCGCCGGTCGTAGTCGCGACATCAACAACAATCGATTCCTCCTCCGCGACCTCAGCTAGTGCCATGGGGTCGCTCTCCTCCTCCAAGCATGGCTCCATAGAGCTCGAAGGTTGGCCCGCCTCATTGTGGGCTTGGCGTCGGATCCGCTCCACCACGGTTTTGGCACATCGCGCCGACGACCGTTGTTTGTACCATGTAATCTTCTCCCACACCATGGCCATGGCAGACGACGACGACTGACAAACTACCAGGGCTCAGACAAAGGCAGATGGTGGAGAAAAAATGTGTAGAATGAACTCGGAAGTAGTGTTGGAGGGGGGGTAGTCGACCAACTTTTTAATAGTTGGTGTAGGCTCCTCGGATGACTCGTCGGCTGCCCGGCCATGAATGCGATGGGTGGAGCGGCAAAGATTCAATGCGGATAGACGAGTAGCCGCTCAATCGATGTGAAAGTGGCGAGAATTCTAGAGCGAGAAAGGGTTTTTGATAGGACCGGCTTGTCGTACGCGGACGTGCCGAACGTCTGGACTCTCCCATACCACCCCACGATTTGGGCCGGCCTAGGGATTCCGAGCGTCTAGATGGTACAACCCAACATGGACGACCATGTTGGAAACCTACAAATGTGTGAACCATCCGGTCCAGACATTTTGAAAGCGATTTGGTGCACGTTGGAGATGCCCTAACACCTCATCTCAAACTCCCGCATCCAAAGCCAAGAAGGCTTATTGTCACTAATTTTGTGAGTCGGCTAGCCGTCACATAACAATCCATAATATTTTTTGTCGTGTGTACTCCGAACTAATGAATTCCAGAGAGAACATTATTCTACATGTCCAATAAATACATGTTTTACAAGTCATGTGTATACTTGTATAGTCATCAACTGGATGATAGTTAGGGCACAAGCAAACCCCTCCTATATATGTATATCTTTGATCGCAAAAATTTCTTGGTAGCTTACCAAGCTGGCCGCTTGGTCTATATATATATGTACATCTTGTGTGTGTGTCTATATATATAGGGCCGGACTATTCTGTTACTAGTAACAGAATAATATTTTGTTACCCCTCGGCCCTATAAGGGTGCGGCGTGCCTATAGCCTGCACTGAGAAACTCCCCGACCCACCCCCAACCTAACCCGCCTCCTACCGCAGGAGGCAGCCATCGCGGGCGAGCGAGCGACGGCGGCAGCCGGAGCGAGGGAGCCCGCGACGCCGTGACGGGTCGCTCCTCCGCCGCCGGATCCGTGACCTACTCCGCCGCCTCTTCTCCTCTTTCGTGGATCTCGTCATGAACAAGCGAGCGCCGGCGGTAGCCTAAGCAAAGGGAGGCCTCGACGGCGTGGAGGGTCGCCGCCGGATCCGACGACACCGTGAAGGTGGTTGCGCCCCCTCCCCCACCAACCAAGCTCCATCCGTCAGGATCAATGGCGCCGCCTGCCAAACTCATCCCAAAACGTCGTCCCCGCTAGCAAGAAGACCACATCACCATCAGTGAGCAGGACGACAGGTTTGTCGGCGTCCGTTTTCAGGTGGTTCCTTCTTTCCCCTACAAATCTTGATGAATTTCCGATTCGAGAAACTTGAATCTGATTCAAAAACAAAGGCTCAGTCCAATGCTCATGTGTGTGCTTGTGTGAGAAAAAGCACGCTAGATCGCTCAGTTCAAACACTAGATGCATGTGATGTCGCACTATAAGTTCATCAGTCCTACTTTAAAAAATCATATACCCGCGTGTTGTTCTGCAAATTCTATGATGCAGAAGCAGATAGTACGTTGCATATTCTTACATCAGTTCATTGGGTCCCTGCCACTTGATACACAATTTTGATGTCGAGGTTACTGTCAATACCTTTATTGTGCTTGCATCAGTTTGAGTATAAAAGGACATAAAGTTATGCATCAGTTCAGGTAGCTTAATAAGTTCACATAAAAGGTTCAACTACCACTACAAGTTATATGTTGAGATTACTAATAGTACATGTCATGTAGATGCATCAGTTCGAACGAGAAAAAGACTGTTGTTGAAAACATTAAATACACCTACTACACAATAAGTTCAGTGATACAGAAACTGGGAGTACTTCTAATGTAGATGCATCAGTTCCAGTGGAAAACAAAACACATGCATTAGTTTCATAGCTGCCAACTACTCGTAGGTTCAATGTTCAGGTTGTCGGCAGTGCACCAAATGTGCATGCATCAGTTTTAGGGAAAACATAAAAAACATGCATAAGTTCATTAACCCACAGCGATGCATCAGTGCTAACAGTACATCAGTACATTAGTGCTCAACATGTCCATCCATCAGTTCGACTGAAAGTACATCAGGGAGAATAGACAACAAAGTTTAATAACGCCCAGCGTTGCTGTTGGGGAACGTAGTCATTTAAAAAAAATCCTATGCACACGCAAGATCATGGTGATGCATAGCAACGAGAGGGGAGAGTGTTGTCCACGTACCCTCGTAGACCAAAATCGGAAGCGTTAGAACAACGCGGTTGATGTAGTCGTACGTCTTCACGGCCCGACCGATCAAGCACCGAAACTATGGAACCTCCGAGTTCTAGCACACGTTCAGCTCGATAACGATCCCCGTACTCCGATCCAACAGAATATCGAGGAAGAGTTCCGTCAGTACGACGGCGTGGTGACGATCTTGATGTTCTACCATCACAGGGCTTCGCCTAAGCACCGCTACAATATTATCGAGGGCTATGGTGGAGGGGGGCACCGCACACGGCTAAGAGATCAAGAGATCAATTGTTGTGTCTATGGGGTGCCCCCTCCCTTGTATATAAAGGAGTGGAGGAGGGGGCCGGCCAAGGGGGGTGGCGCGCCGTAGGGGGGAATCCAACCCCAACCGGGAGTAGGACTCCCCCCTTTCCTATTAGGAGAGGGAGAGGGAAGGAAGAGGGGGAGGGAAGAAGGAAAGGGGGGTCGGCCCCCCTCCCAATTCGGATTGGGCTTCGGGGGGGGCGCCCCCTCCTTTGCTTCTTCTCCCTCCTTTCCACTTTCCACTAAGGCCCGATAAGGCCCATATACCTCCCGGGAGGGTCCGATAACCTCCTGGAGCTCCGATATTGTCCCAATCTCACTCGGAACCTTTCCGGTGTCCAAATATAGTCGTCCAATATATCGATCTTTATGTCTCGACCATTTCGAGACTCCTCTTCATGTCCGTGATCACATCCGGGACTCCGAACAACCTTCGGTACATCAAAACTCATAAACTCATAATAAAACTGTCAATGAAACCTTAAGCGTGTGGGCCCTACGAGTTCGAGAACTATGTAGACATGACCTAGAACTGTGTCCGGTCAATAACCAATAGCGGAACCTGGATGCTCATATTGGCTCCTACATATTCTACGAAGATCTTTATCTGTCAAACCACATAACAACATACGTTGTTCCCTTTGTCATCGGTATGTTACTTGCCCGAGATTCGATCGTCGGTATCTCAATACCTAGTTCAATCTCGTTACCGGCAAGTCTCTTTACTCGTTACGTAATGCATCATTCCGTAACTAACTCATTAGCTACATTGCTTGCAAGGCTAGTGATGTGCATTACCGAGAGGGCCCAGAGATACCTCTCCGACAATCGGAGTGACAAAACCTAATCTCGAAATATGCCAACTCAACATGTACCTTTGGAGACACCTATAGAGCTCCTTTATAATCACCCAGTTACGTTGTGATGTTTGGTAGCACACAAAGTGTTCCTCCGGTAAACGGGAGTTGCATACTCTCATAGTTGTAGGAACTTGTATAAGTCACGAAGAAAGCAATAGCAACATACTAAACGATCAAGCGCTAAGCTAACGGAATGGGTCAAGTCAATCACATCATTCTCCTAATGATGTGATCCCATTAATCAAATGACAACACATGTCTATGGTTAGGAAACATAACCATCTTTGATTAATGAGCTAGTCAAGTAGAGGTATACTAGTGACATTAAGTTTGTCTATGTATTCACACATGTATCATGTTTCCGGTTAATACAATTATAGCATGAATAATAAACATTTATCATGATATGAGGAAATAAATAATAACTTTATCATTGCCTCTTGGGCATATTTCCTTCAGTCTCCCACTTGCACTA